TAAACCTAGCACAGTACGCAACATCTGCGTCCCCGAGGCTCTTGCAACTTACACTAGATTCGCGTCCCCGAGGCCATAAATTCACAACGTCCACAATGATTGCGTCCCCGAGGCCATACAACGTTGTATATTACTCAATACTTGCGCCCCCGAAGCCATGAACCGTCTTAAGCTATGCAGCAGTTCCGTCCCGAAACCATAAAGTCTCCGTAAATTGCGCAACTTTCACGTCCACGTGGCCATCACGAACAGCCTGCGCATCCCCAGCGATCGCCCATATCCCCGAGCGTCGCGGGTTGAACGAACGCACCGCGAAGCGGCCATCGCAAAACAACCCGCGTCGCTCCCACCAGTCAACCGCCCACCTTTTTCCGCCCCTACCGCGACGATGCTCAGCCTTCGCGCGCGCGCGCTGGACGACTGCTTCGGAGAACGGTCTGCACTAAGCATGTCGCTTCACTGTCGCGATACCTCTTCGAAGCTTCAACACGCGACGTCACGCGCACGGAGCGCAAAATGAAAAATTCGCGCCAATCCTGGGCCCCAGAAGTCCAAGAAAACCCCACACGCTGCCAAAGGCCGAAGCCTGATCATTTGTACACAGCACCATGCACTGTCGGATAGCAACGTTTAGATTACAAGGTCCTCACAAGGAACGATCCATTTCAGGTCTGCAGCGCAAAACCGCATAACGTACGACTGTGGCCATCGATCGGGATTCCGACACTGCTTCACGACGGCGCCCAAGCCTCCCCACAATTTGAAATGGGGGGCCGGCGGCGGGGGGCGAAGCAATTACGGATAAGAACATGGCGGATATGAAACAGGTCTTGGATCCCCACAAGCCCCCGAGGCCGAGATACTTCAGCGCGGGCCCTGCAGAGGTTTGGGGGCCTCTCCAGGGGACCGGCTTCCCATCCTATGAATATTTTTCCTGGCGGCCCAGAAGCCCAATGTAAGAGCCCCTGGAAACCGCAAACGGCCCGAAACCTCCCGACATGACTGCTGCACGAAGCGAATTCAGGGTGGCACGCCCGACGCGGATGCAACACATTGGGCACGATGGCCCACAATAGACGTATCCAAAAACAGACAGCGGGGAATGCTTTGGGCAAGCGACGTTCTGCATCAAACGGGCACTGCCCACGGCGGCGCGCAACAGCGAGTGCTGCCTAGAAGAAAAAACAGCAGAAAGATAAGATTGGTGCGCTCGCGCCATGTCTGGCATCGCACATCGGCACATAACACAACACCGCACAGCATGTCATGGCATGGCGCCGGGCCCAATGGAGCGCAAGTGGATCGTCTCCGAGAGGTCTGAGCTGGTCTGGAGTCAAGGCTCCATGTCTAACTCCTTGGGCTCCCCGAGAGACTCCACACAAGACGGGGCTGATGGGAAACAAACTGCAAGCACGATTTCAAAAAAGGTGCAATCTGGATTTCACCTTTTTGACACTGTACCTGTACTTGTACGTTAGAAAAGGGTTTTATACGTATAATCATCTCTATAAATCTGAAGCGCTCCTCTGGCGACCATGACGCTTCTTTTCGGATTCCGCGGCGCATGTTCATTTCACGTCTTAGGCCATGTGCTCGAAATTCTACCGCCCTGGAGCTGGCCACTTACAGAAGCGAAGTCCGTCTGTTCATGTTCCCTGCGGGCTTTCTGCTATCGGAAGTTATTTCTCAAGTAGCGACGGCACTTCTGCAATGGACTAGTTTTCCGATCCAGTTCCACAGCCTTTCACGTTACGGACAACCTTTCGTCAGGCTGCTCAGGTGTGTAATGTTTGGGTATTGTATTGTTTTGGCTTGTCTGTTCTGCCACCCTTCTCTGGCCCTGCTTTCTGATTGTTGAGCCACCAATGGTTTTTGAGCCACCTCTTTCTCGCTATTCAAGCTTTCTTGCTCCGAAGGTTTCTTTGTCTGGGGCTGCTGGCTCTCAGGTTATGCCGGTTCCTTTTTTACATACGAACGCTTTCTGGCTATGAGCCCCTTCTGTCCTAGCTCTGCAGCGTTTCTGGCTTAAGCTGCTTATGTTTCAAACTCTGCTGACCTGTCTGGTTTTGTGTGTGCGTGCGTGCGTGCGTGCGCGTGCGCGTGCGCGTGCACGTGCGGGTGCGCGTGCGCGTGCGCGTGCGCGTGCGCGTGCGCGTGCGCGTGCGCGTGCGCGTGCGCGTGCGCGTGCGCTTGCGCGTGCGCGTGCGCGTGCGCGTGCGCGTGTGCGTGTGCGTGTGCGTGCGCGTGTGCGTGTGCGTGTGCGTGTGCGTGTGCGCGCGCGCGTGCGTGTGCGTGTGCGTGTGCGTGTGCGTGTGCGTGTGCGTGTGCCTGTGCGTGTTTGCGTAATTCCGTGTTTGCGTGTTTGCGTGGTTGCGTGGTTGCATGTTTGCGTTTTTGCGTGCTTGCGTGTGTGCGTGTGTGCGTGCTTGCGTGCTTGCGTGCTTGCGTGTTTGCGTGCTTGCGTGTTTGCGTGTTTGCGTGGTTGCGTGTTTGTGTGCTTGTGTGTTTGTGTGTTTGCGTGTTTGTGTGTGTCTTTGTGTGTTTGTGTGTTTGTGTGTTTGTGTGTGGGCTTGTGTGTTTGTGTGATTATGTGCTTCAGTGTTTGTGTGTCTGTGTGTTTATGTGTTTGTGTGCGTGTTTGTGTTTGTGTGTCTTTGTGTGGTTGTGTGTTTGTGGGTTTGTGTGTCGGTGTGTGTGTGTCGTTGTGTGTCTTTGTGTGTCTGTGTGTGTCGTTGTGCGTCGTTGTGCCTCTTTGTGTGTCGTTGTGTGTCGTTGTGTGTCTGTGTGTCGTTGTGTCGCTGTGTGTCGGTGTGTGTCGTTGTGCCTTTGTGTGCCGGTGTGTGTCGTTGTGTCGTTGTGTGTCGTTGTGTGGCTGTGTGTGTCTTTGTGTGTCGTTGTGTCTTTGTGTGTCGTTGTGTGTCTTTGTGTGTCGTTGTGTTTATGTGTGTCGCTGTGTGTCGCTGTGTGTCTTTGTGTGTCTTTGTTTGTCCTTGTGTGTCTTTGTGTGTCGTTGTGTGTCGTTGTGTGTCGGTGTGTCTTTGTGTGTCGGTGTGCGTCTGCGTGTGTCTTTGTATCTTTGTGTGTCTTTGTGTGTCGGTGTCTTTTTGTGTCCTTGTGTGTCGCTGTGTCTGTGTGTCTTTGTGTGTCTTTGTGTGACGGTGTGTGTGTCTTTGTGTCTTTATGTATCTTGTTGTGTCGTTGTGTGTCTGTGTGTTTGTGTACCTTTGTGTGCCCCTGTGTGTCTTTGTGTGTCGTTGTGTGTCGTTGTGTGTCGTTGTGTGTCTTTGTGTCGTTGTGTGTCGTTGTGTGTATTTATGTGTCTTTGTGTGGCGCTGTGTGTCTTTGTGTGTCGGTGTCTGTCTCTGTGTCGTTGTGTGTGTTTGTGTGTCTTTGTGTGTCTTTGTGTATCTTTGGGTGTCTTTATGTGTCCTTGTGTCTTTGTGTCTTTGTGCGCCGTTGTGCGTCTTTGTGCGGCTGTGTGTCTCGGTGTGTCTCGTTGTGTCTCGTTGTGTCTCTTTGTGTCTCTGAGTGTCTCTTCGTGTCGCCTTGCGCCTCGTTGTGTCTCGTTGTGTCTCGTTGTGTCTCTGTGTCTCTATGTGTCTCTGTGTGTCTCTTTGTGTCTGCGTGCGTGTCTGTGTGTCTCGTTGTGTCTCGTTGTGTCTCGTTGTGTCTCGTTGTGTCTTTGTGCGTGTGCGTGTGCGTGTCTCTTTGGGTATCTTTGTGTCTGTGTGTCTCGTTGTGTCTCTTTGCGCGTGTGCGTGTGCGCGTGCGTGTGCGTGTGCGTGTGCGTGTGCGTGTGCGTGTGCGTGTGCGTGTGCGTGTGCGTTTGCGTGTGCGTGTGCGTGTGCGTGTGCGCGTGCGTGTGCGTGTGCGTGTGCGTGTGCGTGTGCGTGTGCGTGTGCGTGTGCGTGTGCGTGCGCGTGTGCGTGTGCGTGTGCGTGTGCGTGTGCGTGTGCGTGTGCGTGTGCGTGTGCGTGTGCGTGTGCGTGTGCGTGTGCGTGTGCGTGTGCGTGTGCGTGTGCGTGTGCGTGTGCGTGTGCGTGTGCGTGTGCGTGTGCGTGTGCGTGTGCGTGTGCGTGTGCGTGTGCGTGTGCGTGTGCGTGTGCGTGTGCGTGTGCGTGTTCGCGTGCGTGTGCGTGTGCGTGTGCGTGTGCGTGTGCGTGTGCGTGTGCTTGTGCGTGTGCGTGTGCGTGTGCGTGTGCGTGTGCGTGTGCGTGTGCGTGTGCGTGTGCGTGTGCGTGTGCGTGTGCGTGTGCGTGTGCGTGTGCGTGTGCGTGTGCGTTGTGCGCGTGTGCGCGTGTGCGCGTGTGCGCGTGTGCGCGTGTGCGCGTGTGCGCGTGTGCGCGTGTGCGCGTGTGCGCGTGTGCGCGTGTGCGCGT